TTATAAACAAATTAAATAATTTGGAAAATTCAATAAGTAAGTTAAAAGTTAATAATTTTGTTTAAAAAAATATGTTTTCAAGGAAAGTATCATTAAAAATATATGCAAATAATAGAGAATGCGTTTAATAGTTAATTCATAGGACAGCATCATATTTTGTACATTATGAACATACTTGAAGAGTGTTTAATTTTTTTTAGTGATGTGTGTGTATTAATGCTACAGTGTTAAAAAAAATTTTTTAAATCAATTTGAAAACTGTTAGAATAACAGACTATAAGTCAGACTTTGTATAGTCTCAAAATTATGGTATAAGATATTTAGAAACAGAAAAATACATATGCGACCAATATAAAGTTATAACTTCTAAATAAAAAATATGTAAATATATATTTACATAAGAAATGTCAAAAATTCATACAAAAATTGATATATTATGTATAAATAATGTTTATTTCAATGTTATACACAATTACATTCCCGTTTAACGGTAGCTTTAATATTATTTAAGTGTAATTCAGTAAAATCGAAAATTTATTTAGTTAACGCGTGCATAGAGCAGCTAGTGCAGGTGGCAAGTTAATGCAATTGCGAGAAATGTAAAAGAAACGAAATTTAAAAACAGAATGTGTAAGAAAAGGTAAAAATACCAACATGTACACAATTTTTTTTTTTTTTTTGTGAACTACAAGAAGATTAAGTGCATGTAAGTATCCGTGGCTTCTTTCTAATGATAATTAATCCAAAATAATTAGCGTAGTATATCATACTATGTTGCATGATAAAGTTTCAAACAGTTGGAAAAGAATTCTTACATGTATTACTTCAGTTGTATACTAAACTCTAAGAATATGTATAGATTTATAAGCTCTAAATTAGCATTTCCTTGATAGGGTTATTTGTATCTGTCAGGGATAAAGTAGCTAAAAAAGAAAGTGTACATATTATTACCTTGGATATGGTATGGTGGTTTATTGTTATTCGTAGATACATATATTTTTTTTTTAACGAATTGTCAATAATTATAAAGATACAGTTAATTACGTCCGCACAAAGTCACGGATAATTCAAAGTACATATAGTAATGATGTATGTACAACTGTAAATATGTATTCATTCGTATACTTTAAAAAATTGTGTCATTTCTATTTCACAAAAAATTTCGAAGAAAAGTACAGATTCTAATTATAGGTATATGATATTATATATAATCAGTTTGTTGAGTTGCATTATCAAGTATTTGATTCTATTGTTTTCTTCTCAAATGAAAATTTATGCGAGGTACAAACTGTGGTAAAAAAAACTATGTAAATGAATG